TGACATCAAGCAAGAAATTAATGAAAAGAAGGATCCTACTTTGAATCTTAACAATATCATCAATGGTCGTTAGACAGCGATATCAGTAACTAACAATTACTATTCTCAGCAGTAAAATTGACATAAACAGAGAATAATGTTTCTCCTAAGTTAACAACTTTTGAACTTATATAGCATGGACACAACAACAGCTCGACCATATCAACAAATTAGTTAAGATTTTCCATCAACTAATTAGTTCTAATTAGCTAATTAATTAGCGAAATTTAATTAGCTAAGTTTGGAAGTTGTTAATTTAAACATTGTTAGTGTGCTGTTCTCACATCTTAATTTTCTTTCGAGAGTGTTATTTTGAAGCAGGTGAGCTGTTAATGTTGTTCTTGTTGTTAGTTAGTTTTTAAGTGGAGGTTGTTAAGCATGTAATTAGGTGGTGATTAGATGAAGCTTTTTCTTCCTAACGACGACCATGAAATGTTTCCAAACTTCCATTCTCAAGTTAGGAGTTTCTTAGGGTGGTTCAACAAAGATAATGATGTATTTTTAATATTTCCTAGTTTAGAGTTATATCCAGCCTAAGAATTTGTAATAGAACAAAGTGTTTTTTTTTTTAAGAAAAATAATTTTTATTCCAACAAAGAAAGGAGTACAACATGGACCCAAAAATACTATACACCAAAATACATCAAAAGACAGTAAAAAAAAAATCCTATAGATAAAACAGACAGAGAAAGAGGAAAAATTATTTGGTGCGGAGTGCGCACCGTCCGCACAAGCATTAGGCACCTAGCAGTACCCAGTGGTACCGAGTGCGGGTACAGCTAGGTACCCAATGCTTGTGCGGACGGTTCTCCTCGTCCGCACTCCGCACCTAATAATCTCTCGAGAAAGAGGCAATAAAACGAGTCAACCGTGGGCTCATTTTATAGAACAAATAGTATTTTGTTTGATTTTTATTGTTTTATAAGTGTTTATTTGGGACGGCCGCAGCTTTTTTAAAAAACTATTTGTAAAACTGCTTTGCGGGGGTGGGGGAAGTTTTTTAGAAGTTTCTTTTAAAAAAAATGAAATGATTTTCTAGCTCATAAAATTCTTGAAAATTAGCAAGAAAATAGTAACCAAATAAAATTTTTGTTGTAATTTGAAAAGCAAAGTAATAAGAGGGATAACAATATTATACTTAAAGTTAGAGATTTTACTTTGGAGTTTTTTTGGGAGATTTAGGCAAATTAAGTCAAACTCGCACACAGTACATCACATACATATGTAAGACTCTAACTCAATTCCTCTTAGTTGTTAGCCAAAGCTCCTAACTAATAGACCAAGAAGAGCTGCGTATTTAAGGATTATTTGATTTGCTAAAAAAAAAAATGTATATATATAATATATTTGAAATATTTTAAAAATATTTGATCAAGTAAAACTTCGTAATAGTGGCTACCACTAGCAGCGAGGGGCAGTGGTCGGTGACACCAATGGTTGCTCACATCGTCCAGCAATAGTTGTCGAGACTACGAGTAATTGAACAAACCAAATGTATTTTAGTAGATAATGGCATGGCCAATAGTTTTTAAAAAAAATAGTATAGGGGATTTATATAAAATTCATGAAACCAAAAATGGATTAGTTTTTTTTAAATCTTCGTATTAAACATTAATGCAATATAAAATGAATACTTAATGACAAATGTGATTTGTTAACTGCTTAATTTGCGCTCAAACGGCTATAAGATATGGAGCTAAAGAACTACGCAATCGCAGCTTCATGTCCAACCGTTTCGTAGACTTTAAGATATGGAGCTAAACCGGTTTGCTCTAAACCCCTGATATTTCACATAATTATTTTTCTACCCATAAACAACTAGGCATTTTGCAAAGAAGTGATGTCCGGCTTAGGTAGCTGAATTACGGGATAGTCGATGAGTACGATCCATCCGGACTAAACCTCCAACCATTAATTTTTACAAAAGTAGCTTACTAATTTCAAAATTCGCAGTTAAGGCTAGAATTTATATTCTGTCACGTAATATTGCTCAAATTAAATGGCAAAGTTAATGCTGGGGTATATATGTAAAAGGAAGGATTTTTTTTTGTCAGAATGGCCTTAATTTTTTTGTCTGGATAGACTTTTTGTCACCAATTTTACCGTCAAGAACCGTGCAGAACATGTGGTTCTTCTTCCTTCTGCATATCTACCTTTCCAGGCGAATCGATGATGAATCCAATTTAAAGAGTGATTAGATTCGGATTTTATTTGGGATAGTTTTTTTACTACTTCTTAAAGTAATTTTTTAGTACTGAAAAATTGTTTTAAGAAATATGAAGAAAGTCGTTCCAAACGAAACCTTAGACTATTCAAGTTAGATAATCTTAATGCATTAGATTTGAACGCTGGTTTGTCTAAAATACTTTTATATGTATGACATCAATATCTAGCATCTCATGTAGCGGACAGTTGACACTTATCTTTTTCTTACTGGATCTCTACTCTTATTGGGAGAATGACCATATTGGTCACAATTTGTTGATCAACTTTGTTGCTCCCAATCGAACATCGCACAACATCTTTAAATAAATTTTATATGATACTCGTCCAGATGATTATCATGATCTCTCATTATATTTGGAGAACGATCAAATAAATTGTCTATTATTGCCCAAGTTCTAACATTCAGTGTTGATCATCGCTCAACTTATCAATAACTGACACCCAAATATCGACTAATAATTAACATGTTGTCTCTCAACTTTTTTTTTTTGCTCGCTATCATTGTCCAATTTTTTGTGTTTTTATATTGATATATAATATATGTCGACCATCAAATTTGAGCTAGTCAGATTTTCTTAATTTTTTATTAAAAATTTTATGATTTTTTTATGCAACACTCTGAATTTACATGCATGCATATAAAATTTTTATATAACTCTATTACATTAGACCATCTATATTTTAATTTCTTCATAAATATCTCCAACAATGTCCTTATGCTTTGTAGGTAGTATTTGGTCAGATTGAGCTCTAGCGAAATAAATGAGCCAAAATTAATTTAAATAAAAAAATGAATATAGTCAACTAACTATCAAGCTTGATTTGACCTCAAACAAAATGGAATATCTTCAAATGGATGTTGAGCTTGATTGAGTGGGCTCGGCCCTCTCTAAAAAGAAATCCTCAAATCGCTAATTACAAATCAGCCCCTCCTTTTCCTTAACGTTACTGAAAACGACTTCTCCGCTGAGATATTTCCTGTTAGCCAACCACCGGTCTCCCCGCGCGCCCATTAGTTCTCTCTGCTTTGCTTCCTCCCATCCCAGCTGGACCGCCGTCGCTGCTCTCTCTCTCTCTCTCTCTCTCTGCACTTTTTTTTTCAGAATGGCCTTAATTTTTTTGTCAGGATAGACTTTTTGTCACCAATTTTACCGTCAAGAACCGTGCAGAACATGTGGTTCTTCTTCCTACTGCATATCCGCCTTTCGAGGCGGTGAACAACTAAGGCTTCGTTTGGGACGGTTTTTTTATTGCTTTATAAAATGGAGTTTTAGTACAAAAATAAAAAAATTTTATACTAAGACTCCGTTTTGGAAAGCAATAAAAAAACCATCCAAAACGAAGCCTAAGTAGAACTCTGACCAATTTAAAGAATGATTAGATTCAGGCTTAATTTGGGATGACTTTTTTACTACTTCTTAAAGTAGCCTTCTAGTACTAAAAAGCTGCTTTAAGAAGCATGAAGAAAACCGTTCCAAACAAAACTTTAGATTATTCGAGTTAGAGAATCTTAATGCATTAGATTTGAACGCTCATTTGCCTAAAAATACTATTACATGTATGGCATCAATATCTGGCATCTCCAGACTCCAGCAGCTGACATTTGACATTTATCTTTTTCTTACTTGATCTCTACTCTTATTGGGAGAACGGCCATATTGGTCACAAATTATTGATCAACTTTGTTGCTCCCACTCGAACATCACACAACATTTTTAAATAACTTTTATATGATACTCGTCCACATGATTATCATGATCTCTCATTATATTTGGAGAACGATCAAATAAATTGTCTATTATTGCCCAAGTTCTAACATTCATTGTTGATCACCGCTCAACGCATCAATAATTGACACCCAAATATCGACTAATAATCAACATGTTGTCTCTCAACTTTTTTTTTTTTTGGTTTTTGGCTCTCTATCATTGTCCAATTTTTTGTGTTTTATATTGATCATGGTAAGATACTTGCCAATAAACGATATTCAAAACTTATCTTTTTATTCGGCAATTCTTCCATAATATTAGGTGAATGACAAAGCCAACAACACATTCGTCCGCCATCTTCCATTATTTCATATCAACCATCACCTGATACTCTTCAACTATCTATATAGGTTGTTGGCTAGCCACCAATGTCCAACATATGCCTTCTTTGTCTCTCAATATCCCTTTTTACTACAAAAACAATCATGTCGATCAATTGCTGTTGCTTGACTCTCCGTAAATCCTATCAACCACTGTTAAACACTTGCCTACAATTAACACCCACTAGCTAGCAATGATTATTACTTATCTTCATATCATCATATATGCATCTATTATGAGTATAATCGATTTAGCTGTCCATCATTATTATGCCTTGATGTTCCATATTACTAATTGCTTTATAATTATCATACATTATTCTTTTATATTTATAATCATCGATATCTAATATATGTCTACCATCAAATTTGAGCTTAGTCATATTTTCTTAAATTTTTATTATAAATTTTATGATTTTTTTATGCAACACTCTGAATTTACATGCATGCATATAAAATTTTTATATAACTCTATTACATTAGACCATATATATTTTAATTTCTTCATAAATATCTCCACCAATGTCCTTATGCTTTGTAGGTAGTATTTGGTCAATTTCCCCAAAAAAAAAAAAAGGTAGTATTTGGTCAGATGGAGCTCTAGCGAAATAAATGAGCCAAAATTAATTTAAATAAAAAAAATGAATATAGTCAACTAACTATCAAGCTTGATTTGACCTCAAACAAAATGGAATATCTTCAAATGGATGTTGAGCTTGATTGAGTGGGCTCGGCCCTCTCTAAAAAGAAATCCTCAAATCGCTAATTACAAATCAGCCCCTCCTTTTCCTTAACGTTACTGAAAACGACTTCTCCGCTGAGAAATTTCCTGTTAGCCAACCACCGGTCTCCCCGCGCGCCCATTAGTTCTCTCTGCTTTGCTTCCTCCCATCCCAGCTGGACCGCCGTCGCTGCTCTCTCTCTCTCTCTCTCTCTCTGCACTGCTCTTTCTCGCTCTACACTCCAGTCTCTTTTTATCTCTGCACCGCCACTCGTCTGAACCAACACACTCTCTTTCTCTCTCTCTTTCGCGCTAAATGATTCTTTTTTTCTAGCTTAGCAAAGCAGCAAACTTGATCTGCAGCTAACTATAACTCAATATCCAGAGGTGCACATTAGGGGAGCAGAGGCTAAGAGTTTACGGGATCTCTAGCAGGCGTAATGGTGGCCGCCGTAACTGCCGCTGGATGCGGCAAAGAGCGAGCATTTTCAAATAACCCATCATCGGATCGTGGGTGGCGAGCCTGCAGTGAAGAAAGCAACTCGAGGTATCTGTCATCTTCCAGGATCTCTGCTTCAAAATCCAACCCTTCCTGTTTCTCTACAGTTTCCTCTTCGTCTTCGTCCTCATCATCCTCCTCCACTCCCCAACGCTCTCCTTCTCCGCTTCACACCCCAATGCCTCAAACCCCATCTACTTTGCCCCAAAAACGTGCCCAATCCGTAGATCGACCGCGGACGACTACAAGAAGCCTCTCTGTCTCTTTCCAGGGCGAGTCGTTCGTCTTCCAGACCAGCAAAACCAAGCCCACACCGCGAAAACCCACCTCCGAGTGCCGGAAACCCATTGCATCTTTTACTGGTGTCGAAAATTCCCAGCCAAATGAGCAGCGGATGCGGCGAAATCCGCATGCGACGGCCAGAGAGTCGAATTCGTTAACCAGGAGTTTGGACTGCTCTGTAGATGGAGATAATCCCATATTGTTGACGGTTCGATTGCTGCTTGATGAGACTAATTTGAACATTGGTGATCGATCTCAGTCGCCGGGTTCTGATAGTTTGTCATCGGGGAGCGTTGCGAAAGTGCGGGCCAAGCCCCGTGGTATCTGTGTTCCCGCAAGGTTTCGGCAGGAGAATGGCTGCCCTCGCCCTCATGTTGAAACCCCGCAAAAGCTGATTAATGGAAAGCAGCAGCCATTAGCTAACACCCTGCAACTTCCATCTCCCAAATTTATTCCTTCTACTCCACATGGACCTAAGTCTTGTTCCCCGAGACATGATGGAACTTTGAGGACTAGAAGAAATATCATGGAGAGTTACTCCAATGGTCAAGTAGGCAATGCTCCTTCAATTATAAGCTTTGCTTCTGAAGTGAGGAGAACTAAGAAAGGCGAGAGCCGGATTGAAGATGCTCATATGTTGCGCTTATTTCATAATCGGTATCTGCAATGGCGTTATATTAATGCACGCGCAGAAAATGCATTTTCAACGCATCTGATAAATGCCGAGGTAGGGAGAAACGCTGAGCGTTTGAATTTGATATATTTGTTGATTTCTGTTATCTCTTAATATTTTTTTGAAATTTTGATTTGCTCGAAGACCATCTCCAACCGAATTGCATACCACCATGCCTTCGACCATTCAGTCAATTTGAACTCCAAATCGAACCAAAGTTAGGCGGGTGAACAGTGCGACGTCAATATTGGCGTCGGAGTGTTCACCTACGTCAAAAAATTGGGCTATGGAATTTGCCGAAGAAGCGCGCAAAGAATAGAGAAAATATGGTTCGATTGGGGATGAATTACTGATTTTTGAAGTTTTGCTGCTTTTTAGAGTGAAAAACGAATTTTTTGGTTGGAGATGCCCTAAGTTGCAACTTAGTTAGAATTCTTTATATAATCATCCTATTCATCCATATGTTTGGAAATGATTATCATGTTGAATTTACGTAGGGTCTATTTGGGGCAACTTTTGAACAGCTTTATTTTCAAGAAAGTTTTAATAGATCTGTTTGACCACAATTTTCTTGTCATTTTTTTAATTTTTTTGTCGCCAAATAACTTTTTACAATTAGATCTATTAGAATAAAGTAGCTGTAAGTAAGTTGATATACAACAACTTTCAAAAAAATATATTTTCAACACAATCGTTCTACTACAACTATTTTTAGAAATAGTTGTGGTAGCCCCAAACAGGAAAAATTATTTTGTGCGGACCCCAGATGACATCCGAAGACCAATCAGAACGTGTCACATCACTTTTTTTTCTTGGTACCGCTGTGTACTGGGTGACGTGGCGCGTTCCGATTGGTCTCAGAACTGTCCGGTGTCCATACAGCATAATTTCTCCCCAAACGGACCCTTGGCTTCTAAGGTTATTGTTATATGATATTTATAAATTTGCTCTTTTTTTTAAAAGAAAAGTTTGTAAATTTTCATAATCTAAGGTCTTCATGCTGGTCTATTTCAGAATAATCTATATGATACATGGATAACCATCTCGGAATTACATGAGTTAGCCATGAATAAGCAAATTAAACTAGAAGCACTGATGCAAAACTTGAAGCTGGCTTCCATGCTAAAGGGACAAGTAAGGGTTAATATCCTGATTTTTAGTTAGCTATGCTCATTTTTTTATTGAAGTTGCTCGTTTGCGATTATTATGCCTGTAATTTCTATAGTAATCTATTATGTATTGCTTCATCTTTGACAACACATTGCACCTATGTTTTCTCTTTACATCTTCTTTCATTTTTTTGCAAATATGTTAAATGATCAAAATTTTCATCTGTACATTCAGGTTGCTGTCATGTAAAATGTAGAACATTAATTTGACCTAAGCACAATGAGGGCTAGGTTACATTAAAGCCCTGCAAATAGGTTAGCTTCAAGTAAATCCTAGTATAAACTTTACCTGGTCTAATATTTGGTTAATAGTTGATATTTTTGTTACAATTTTTTTTTTACTAAACCAAATTTATCCTTCTTGTTGCAAGTTTTCATAAGGTCACACATCGCTAGAGTGCTCCATCACAAATATACTTAGCTATGGGGTTTTCTACGAAATTGCACTCATTACACTAAAAAGTGCATCTCATATTTAGAGCTTCCCTTTCAATTATGTCATTTTATTTAACTTTGCTCCCCCTTTTTCTCCTGGAAGCCTACTTGAAGCTGCTCTTTGTTTGGCTTTTATCCGAGCTCTCACTTCAAGCCCTCTTTGAACCTTACTTAAAATTTGGGATTTAAAAAATCTCATAATTTTCACTTGGTTCATACCCAAACCACACGTTGTACTTAAAGAGATATGGCTCTAATACCAATTGTAATGACCAAACCCACAACATATGAGTTATAATACGTTTTGACCCAACATCTCTTTTACTAAATTGAATCTTATGGCTTTAACCTTGTTGGTGTAACTTTCTAAGAGATTTCCCATCTTATGAGCAAACCATCAAGAGCATGCTTAACTATGGTGTTCTCAATAATTCTCAATAATGCTTAACCCATTATGCCAAAATGCACATTACATATTTAGGCTAAACTCTTTGCTTAGATAGCTCGATTATTTTGACTCCTTTTTTAATGAAACATTTAGTTCATTCTTATCCCTCTTTTCTGTTAGAATTTTGTCATCTTAGATACATGATAGAATTTGCTGTTAATTTAAGCCTATGGCTTGGTAACCATCAAGTCTCACATTTGGATTGCCCTCTTCAAATTCATGAAGTCACTGGGAGCTTATAATCAAATATAATTTAGTTAATTCAATGATTTTACAAAAATTATATGACTAAATACAATTGTTCAATGGTTTGGGTCAAACAAGCCTAATTCACTAGTCATGATGCAAGTACGCTGATTCGACACATTCCAATGCTTACAGAGCTCTCCTACAAGAGTGGCCAACTAGATGAGACTCACAACATTACCCTACTTATGTCACCCCAATGTTTAGGATGAGCTTGCTTTGGCCCGCAGCATGGTCCACCATTGAGAGCAGCTAATTTAATTGCATAGGCCACATAAAAGAGGATATATGAGCCTCCCTAGTCCATCATTTGTAAATTCAATTTTGGATCCTTCTGGCGCTTACTAACACTAGTTGGGCAGTGCCATGCCCCGCCTATCATCTATGTCAATAGCAAACCAATCTCCTAAATTATGATAATGACCAGATACACCATTGATTTAAGGGGTTAAATACTTGCAAATAGGCTTACCCAACTTGGTAGGCTTCTAACTCACCTTGGCCCACATGATCCACAAGTAAGAGCCATTAATGCAAATTTCATAAGTTGAAAGGATATGCGGATCTCCCATTACTTTGGGTTTGAGTGCCTTGCCCCATTTTTTTTTCTGACAACCGTACAACATTGGGTGCTTTACACTCGTGTTGGTTGAAGACAAAGAGCAGAGCACTGTGGTGCTCCAAACCCTTGCGTTGCAGTGCTGTCAGTCAAGCCGGAGATAGAGAGTGGAGCGCCGCGATGGTGCTAGTTGGGCTGGGTAGTTTTCGTTCTCGTTTTTCATGCTTAACTTGAAGGTTTCTTCTCTTGGTGTAGGTTAAGTGCGTCTCTTGGTCTATATTGAGTTGAGAATGAAATGTGAAGAGAGGCAAGGAGAGAGTGTGAGAGAAGAGATTTGTACTATCTCTCCCAAATTTTCATAGTGGATTTTTTTGTGTGGTGTGGCTCTATAGTTGTTTCTCGATTTCTGATTTTTTCACATTAAATCCTGGTGTTCTTTCTTTTCTGCTGCATTTTCTCTTTCTTGTTTGTTTCGCTGCGTTGTTTACTTTCCATCACTATTAATACTACATGTTGTTACGGGTGTATACTAGTTTGAAACCATAACACCTTACTTGGGGCCAAGATAATGAAAATTTGATCAATGCTTTAATTAGTTGTCTCCAATAATATCTTCAATTTACATTCCATATGAAGAATGTTGGTGCTCTTACCTCATAGGTTTGGAGATTCACCTTTTTTTTAATGCTTTCCTGAACCAATATAATTATACATAACACAAGATTTGATAACTTTGGTTGGCCTCTAAAGTACTTGCCCAAAAATACTCCATCAGAAGTAAACACAATGTATCACAATGAGGAATGTGATCTCCCTAATCCCACTATATTTTGACAAATACTAGGAAGTTTAAACTATTTGAGAATTACTCAGACAAATATTTCCTTTGCAATTCAGCAAGCCAATATATGCAAAATTCTCGCCACCGACATTTGGCTGTTGTTTGTTGAATCATTTGATATCCTATTGGGATATTGAGTTTTGGCTTGTTCTCTCTGCTCTTATAAGATATAATGATATGTTGTGCTGGGTGATTTGATGCTCAACTGTCAAGCACAGGTCGATGCATGTTTCTTAGTGATTTTTTTATTTCATGATAGAGTTAAAAAATAGGCTCGTGTTTTTAACTCATCTACTAAGTCAAAATACTATGCAATATCTATCAAGCGTTTAGAGATTTTTTGGCTTTGTGGAATTTTATTTGAAGTGGGTTTTTCCTAGAGCACTACCTGATGTGAAGCATATATGGAAATAGAAATTGCGTAGGAGTTAATAACAAGTTGTTAAGCTTTGCTAATTTTAAATTCAATGTTTCACCGAGATTAAATTCTAGGAGTTCACAGTTGTAGTTATGCTTTGGCATGCGATTACAAGAAAGACTAATAGGACAATTTAAAATAACAACAAATTTATAGTAAAGCTAAAGACATAAACAATATAAATCAACCGCTTAACAAATTGAAATTTCACCTTGAGTTTCCTCACTTTCGCTCTCTGAGGTGGTTTTAGTGGAAGAATAATTTTAGCAAACTTAGAGATGCCACCAAAAGACAGAAAACACCTGCAGTATTGCCCAACGAGAAGTTAGCCGGAATGGAAGAAGTTGGTCGATGTCTGATAACTCGCCACTATACGGAGATTTGTTATTCCTCGATGGCAGACGTCAAGGTAAAAATGATTCAGTCAACGTAGTCGTCGATCTCGAAATTGAGGTTGAGAAGGGAGACTAGAGGATATCTACTCTTCCTTGAAGATCATACATGAATCCATGATCGTGCTCGGGATCAGCCATTCATGGGGAAGTAGGCTAAGGTTGGTGTATCTTCTTCCTTGGGAGGTATGTCAAGCAAGGGATAAAGAGAGATGAGGGGTGGGGGGGCTAAGGGTTTCGGTCAAGACTAGGGAGGAGCCGTGGGGTTAGGGATTTAGGTAGTAAGAGGAGTAAAGAGGAGAGGAGGGAATTAATTCCTTGATTAATTATCCTACAATAGAAATTAATTTGAGAGGGAAGGAGGGAGAATTTGAATTCAAATTCAAATTCTATAATTGATGGAGGGATTATGGGGGGGATTGGGTGTTAATTGGGAAATAATTTAAGTGGAGGAGAGAGAGATAGGGGATGGCAGCAAGAAAGGGAGAGAAAGGTGAAAGAGGGGGCCGGTCAAGATAAAGGGGAAGGGGAGATTGTCTACATTCAATGAATTTGTCTTGGTGCAATGAATGTTGGAATTAAAATTAATTCCAAGTTAAATTTAGATTTGGAGAGATTTGGGGGGTTCCTAAATATATTTACTAATTATGAAAGGTTTTGAATTTCAAATATTATTTGAATTCAAATTAATAGACTTTTCATATTAATCATAAGCTATATTAGGAAGGTGTTTAAGAGGCCTTTTGAATTTGAAAATAAGGATTTGTGGATGGGAGGGGCTGGCGGCTTAGCTTTAGCTATTTCGGCCAGCGGTTAGGATGGGTGGTGGAGGTCGGCGGCTAGGGGAATTTAGGTGGAGTTTGGGTTTGGGTTTTGGAAGGCCGGTGATGGGGACTTGTTGATAGCTTGGCCGGTGGGTGTGGGGAAAAGGGGAAGGTTGGTCGGCGGTTGGGGATGGGGAAGGGTGAATAGCCGACGGTATAGGGAGGAGTAAGAGGAAGTAAGAAAATAAAATGAATACGAACTGCGAGCCCATCCTCTACCGGCGGCTAACGGGTGTTGTTTGGTCCTCTCCTAGGGTTTTCTCTTCTCTCAAGAGCTCACAAGAAAACAAAGAACAAAAAGTTGAAATTCTCATTAATCAATCATTAACCTCATACAATAGTGAAGGCCTCTATATATAGGACTTAAAATAAAAGAGAAGCAAAAGACTAAAATGTCCTTTGTGCTAAATCATGAACTAAGCCATCTCAGGGGTACAATGGTAAACCAGAACATAAATAAAATAAAATAGATTAATGCCTCATAAATAAAAACTCTAAATTGTAGATGTCAATCTACGATTCCTCCGATGATAAACGCGTCGAAATCTCATGTTGATGTCCTCATCACTACCACTCCTCTACATACATACCATTGCCATCCAAATTCCTACCAATTCTATTTATCTTGAATGGATAAAATAAGAAGCTTTTGACACTTATTATTTTTCTTGCATCTTTGTAAATCTTCATAAAGAAAGCATATTTATGAGGCAATGACATAGCAGTGACATCAATTCTTTATGGGCATATTGAAGCCTCCTCACCACCATACATGGCCGGCCCCTCTCTCCTCTCTCTCCCCCATTAAGACTCTTTTAATACACCCTTATTTCTTTCCCTCTTAGACTAATTTCAATTTTGAAATTTCAAAACTGAAATTAAGCCCTTCATAATTTGGAAATCTGGATAAAAATTTCAGATTTGTGTTCTTTCCCCTTAGCCTCACCCGCCCCTCTCTCTCCCTCCCCAAACCGTGACCTCCCCTTCTCCCTAGCTCACGGCAAGCTCCCACCTCCCTAGTTCTTATTCCCTATTCAATCCCACCATGCATGACGGATCCGGAACTTGAAGGCGGACTTGTATTCGACGTCTACGGAGACATCCACGTTCTTCGGTCTCCATTCTTCGACGTGGGGTTTGACCACGACGACACCATTGATGGTTACTTGGATCGAATCCTCCCAACCCTTGTGCAAGTCATCGACGGGCAATTTTCAAACTACGACTGGATCATCCACGGGCATCCACCCGCTTCCCCACCTTCCCCGCCGTCGCTTCCCTCGCCATCACTACGGATCGTCTGCGCCGTCTCCCTTGGAGTGATATCGTTTCTCGTTTGGGTCATCTTCCTCCGACAATCCTAGAAGTAGAAGAGTGACTTTGTGCCTCAAGGTGAGACGATTACTTTGTTAACCATCGGATTCTAGTTGACTAATCATATCATTACTTTTGCTTAAGTTGTTATTTTAAGGATCTTGCAAATTTAGTTGTAACGACTTGCCTAAGCATTGTTAACTTCTAAGATCTTGTTTTGATTTGTCAAATTTGAGAAGCATTAAATTACTTTTTCGTTGCTCTAACAAATCTTATTAATTTCTAAGAATGCAATTCCTGGTTTCACATCAGAAGGCCTCTATATATAGGACTTAAAATAAAAGAAAAGCAAAAGACTAAAATGTCCTTTGGGCTACATCATGAACTAAGCCCTCTCATGGGTACAATGGTAAACCAGAACATAAATAAAATAAAATAGATTAATGCCTCATAAATAAAAACTCTAAAGAATAGATGTTGATATATGATTCCTTTGATGATAGACGCGTCGAAATCTCCTACTGATGTCCTCATCACTACCACTCCTCTACATACATACATACTATTGCCATCCAAATTCCTTCCAATTCTATTTATCTTGAAAGGATAAAATAAGAAGCTTTTGACACTTATTATTTTTCTTGCATCTTTGTAAATCTTCATAAAGAAAGCATATTTATGAGGCAATGACATAGCAGTGACATCAATTCTTTATGGGCATATTGATACTGCTTGGCAAACCAACATAAATTTTGAGGGGAGATATCAATGTGATATGCATTATTTACCGCATTAATTACCCTATGTGAATTATTGCTACAAATCTATGAAACGGATTAGTATAGCTGTGAATTTTAAGCTTTTAGGAATATAATTTGTTGCACCTTTATTAGGATAAGTCTGATTGAGCAAATTACTTAATGGGTGTCATGCATGATACCTATTCTCCTCTATGTAATGAATATAACCCACCAGAAGGGAAGTAATTTGTGCAGCTCCTTTTGTTATGGCAGTTTCCAAGACTGCTTGACCTCCTCATCAATTACTTACTGGGGAGAGGGAACAATGGAGAATCCAATGAGACTCGATTTAGATCGATCTGAACCACTCTGTTTTAGGCTAAAATAATTCAAACTAACATGGGTTGTTACACGTAAAATTAAAATAATAAGATAAGTTCTTCCCCAAAGCAAATCAAATGAATGGGAAGCTGGACTTTGTTTATTGTTGTGTACTTGGAGCTTGTGTGGTGTATTCATCAAAGCAAATCTAAAGTAATAATCAATCACTGTAAAGCGATTTAGCCATTTAGGTCCCCTTTGCAATTTCCACTCCCACCCACCATCGGCGTAAGGGGAATATTCCTTTTTTGAAAACTCAGTGGCACAGGATATTCGGCCAAAAACTAGTAATTGTAATTTGTATAATATCCTTTTAGGTATGGGATCCTCTCCAATATTAAGATAGTTCTCATGTCTATTATATCTCCTTGGTTGTACTTGACACTTTATATTCCTTGACTGCTACGCCCTATCAAGGTCAAGTTTCCTTTGTTATTTGCGTTGTGTGCTTCTTATACCCAAAATCTACTGCAAATAGCACTGTGAGCTTCAAATCAGAAATGTATTTCATCTAACTGGCAGCTATTCCGGTGAACCTCACAGTTAATCTAGTAGTAGATTCTTTTGATTTGAGCATTTGTTGAGAATTTTGGATTCATGTCAAATTTAATCTGTTTCTTGATATTTTTGATTGAGCGCTGATTGAGAAACATGTATTCAAGCCAAGAATACTCATTCCTACTGTGAGGAAATAAATATCATCAAGACTTCCGCAAACCACAATTTGATTCACATATCAAAAGAATTGATTTATAGTTTTCCACTACAGCATAAGCTTGCTAAACTGTTAAAATAATACTGTTGAAACCCAACTAACTTCAGGATCTTTCTAAATAATAGCTAATAAGACTTTCAATTAAGTGTTTTAGGTTGCATATAAGAAATTGATATGTCAAATTTACTAATACGAACCCACAAATCACTTAAACGAAAGACCTAGAGATTTCAAATTTGGTTTACCTACAAGTAGAACATAACAAGCAAGCTAATGAAATCAAAATTTTGATAATTAAATAATTATACTAATTATAAATGATAATTATTAAAGTCAGCAACCTAATCTATTTATTTTCTAATTAATTTGAAAAGTTACTTCAATGAACTTTGAACAAGATGACCATGAGATACTTGTCAATCAATCAACCTTTATTTGTTTATCACTTGCAAGCCAATAGCAATAGTTATTGAATGCAAATGCAAGATACATCAAAACTAGATGACCTATTACAAAGAGATCAAATTTCTTGTCTAAATCAACAAACAAGATTGAAATGAAATCCCTAAACAAGAATCAACACTACCTTGCTAGCTAATCTATAGCAAATATATATGCAAAAAGTATGTAAAATCAAAATTAGGCACCAAAGAATCAAGAACACAAGCATATATGTACTTCGGCACATTTGTGCCTATATCCACGGGGAGAAAGATGACTCTTTTTTTTATTAACTTGCACCAACAATTACAATAGCATGAACAAAGATTATATCTAGATTACCTTTTTCATACAAGTAAAGTTCTTGATCTTAAGAATATAAGGAACAAAATCATCTGATCAATCTCTTCTTTCTTTGCTTTTGAAAACCTAAATATCCTTTGATTTTACCGGACTAAATGTCCTTGAGAAGCTTCTAACATGCAATAGAATATACACGCACCTTCCTCCTTTGTTTGCGAGCCTTTCCCCTCTTGTTTTTATGAAGAAGAAACCTTACCTCTCACCGGTTTTACACGCCCAGCTCTCGATTTCGCAAACTCCCACTGCTTTGCACCTGCTCGGTTCACTCTTGTCCTGTTCCTCTCTTTTCTAACAAGCGCTGCTCTCGGTTTGCCTCTACTCCAAACCGAAGGACCCATCTCCTTATAACATGGAAGAAAAAAAAAAAAGAAAATGCAATACAATATGCTACATATAATGCTACACATAAGAGAAGCATTGATTAGTAATAAAACAGGTATTTAAAGTATAACATGCTAGTGTAAATTAATGAAATTAATTACAACTAATATTTGATTCACAAAATTAATTAGCAATTTAATTAACATAAACATATTCCAGAGGAGTTAACACGGCTATAAGTTGCATACCCAACTTTATTCATCTCCACCCAAACTATATTTACCAGTAAAACTTGTTTTCTACATGTTATGAATGCAGATTGCTTACTTAGACGAGTGGTCTACTCTTGATAATGATCATGAAAATTCCTTGAGAGGGGTTATTGAAGCATTAAAGGCCAGCACTCTTCGTCTCCCTGTTATTGGAGGAGCTAAGGTTCGTTCCATCAGATTTTAACTTTTAGCGATTTCAAACTATCTAATAAGAATAAAACAACCATGTTTCTTCTTTACATTAGTTGGATATCCAAGAGGTAAAAGATGCAATCAATTCGACCGTTGGCGTTATGCATGCAATGACAGCTTCCATATCCTCTTTACTATCGAAGGTGAATGCCACCTTTTCATGACTGTTTTAAAATGAAAAAAGAATGTAGAAATTTGCGTTCTCTTTCCATTACAAAGAAGCTCTGAAGTTTAATTAACAAACTCCATCTACAGGTGGAAGGGATAAGTTACCAAGCATCTGAGCTCGCTAAAGCAGCAGCATATGAACGAGCTTTGCTTTACCAATCCAGAGATCTATTGTCAATAGTTGCAGCATTGCATGTAAGTAACACGGTACAAGTCCATCTATTTTGTCAAGTTGGTTCACATTCTTATTAGGTGTTCACTTCGTGGTTGTTTATTTAGATGTACTAAAAAGTGTAGGGTTAAATATAGTAGTCTAGGATTTTCAAGTTTCTGGTTCAAATGCAAAAATAGCTTTTGAGGAATTTGGAAGATCAGTAATAGGTTATTTTAGATGCACCCAAAATTTGCCCAAATTAGACAAATTAGGAATAGACTGCAAGCCACCTTCACTATCCATGCCATCATGTCTCTCGACTTAGGACACTATTAACTCAACTGACATCGCCGCATCGCCGCCAACTTCGTCAAAATCGGGTCACGGGTCGGGTTCGGGTCAAACCCGGAAATGACCCGACGCTGTTCGACTCGACCTGTTTTTGCAAAGGGCTTAGTTTTTCATACCTGAGCCCGACCCGATTCGAGTCCGGGTCAACCTGAACCCGACCCACTTCGGGTATGTTTTACTAAATATTTTGTTATTTAGTTCAATATATTTAAACCTAAATTAAATTAAGTAAGATTTATTTCAATCAATTTAAAAATAAACTAAGCTTAATTCGATTTGGGCAACATGGTTTATTATTTTTTTGGAAATAGCATTTACGTATTTCCTAACAATCTTTTAAAACCCTCCTAAATTAATTAAAAATGGGTCAAACCGGGTTGATTTTGGGTTTCTGAGTTAACCCGAACCCGATTTTACAAACGGGTTGAAATCCCTAACCCAAACCCGACCTAGTTTGGGTTTGGGTTGACCCGAACCAAAAAATTTCGAGTTGGGTTTGGACCGGATTTCGGGTTGTATCAAATACTGACACCCCTACCGTCAACACCGCAAACTCAACAGACTTTATCCCTGCATCTACCTTCTCCATCCCCATCAACCGGCACCATAATCATTGTCAATTTTATTGCCGCGGCTACTCCGTGCTCTAAAAAAAACTTTACGCAAGAATGTAAGCTTAAAAAATATATATATTAATTTTTTATTTTACTTCCATTCAATCACAAAAAATAAAACATCTTACCTTTATTTCACATCCAACCAAACAACTTTAAATATTACAAATACATTGTAACATTTATTATTCTATATACAAATGCAGCCCCTTAAGCAAAACTTTTGATACTTGCAGGTGAAGCTGTGCAGTGTTCAAGGCTATATATTACAACTATCAAGAAAGACAAGCCTTATGCAGCTACAGTAGCTGACAAAGCAGATTAGGGGACATAAATTCTATTGGGAATTCCATACCATAGAGAAAAATGAATTCCATTTCATCATCTCATTAACAAAACCTTCATGTATGATGGACGGCCATCCATTATTCCCAGTGGTAGGTAATTCCCTAAAGAAATTTTGTCCTGATGTTAGCCTTTACTGACACCACAGAGACCTCTTTCCTTATATTACAAGAGATTTGCTTCCTCTGGAGGCAAATACAAGGCATTTCAGTCTGTTCAACAAGAAGATGAGTTCATTTCTCTTTTGCATTGTCTCTTATGTGTGTATTTTTGTTATTATTATTTTTGGTTTATGGTTCTATTTAGTTTGAAGGAATTGAAATGAAAATTGTAAATGAAATGAGTTAAATCATTTTTTATTGAGGAGAAAATGAGACACAATGATGAGTAAATGAAATTTTCTTCATGTCTTTATTAAGGTTGGGTAGAGATTAATATTTTGTATGAAAAGTTTATATTGCTTTAAATAACAAGTGTCAATATATTATGTTGGATATTGGTCCAAGATTTAAGTAATTTTTCTTGTGCACTTGAATGATTTGTATTGCCATTGGTGTAGTATTTTTGTCTATAAATTGAGGCTATATGCTGTATTAGGGTTATGGTTAAGAAATAAATTTTTGAGTTTGCTGCTCTCCCTCTCACCTTACCTCTCTCCCTCCTCTCCCAAGAAGCTCAAGAAGGAAGTGTTTCTTCCTCTCATTGAAGATCCTAACATATTATGTGCAAGTTTTTTCCAAAAAAAACTAAAGATGGATTAGCATAGCTTAAATCTTCAAATAATACGCAACTCATCTTGGTCTGTTGGTTGAGAGCTTTGATTACCAATTAAAAGGTCTTGGGTTAAATCTTGAGTTTGCCTTAATTGCTCTAAATGTCCAAATAAACAAATGAATCTTCAAATAATTGATGTCAAATTTGTCCGAACTAAGGCTTCATTTAGGATGATTTTTTTAATGCTTCTTAAAGTAGCTTTCTAGACTAAAAAAATTGCTTTAAGAAACCGTAAGTAGTCCCAAATGAAACTTAAGCCTCTCTTTTTCGCTCATCAGAAACCTCAAATGGCATTGGTCCAAACATTTCACACAAGTGACAAGTTCATGGAGTCGGGGCGGCTACTCTTATTTAGGACTTTTGAGCGAATTTTTACATTTTTAAGATAATAATCATTGTATTATTTGAATATAATATTTTTGTTTTTTCTTCATATATTTATATAATCATAAATATTTTCATAGAATCAAATACATTAGAGAATGATGGTTAAAAAAATTAGTATCTCAATATTATAAAAATCACAGTAGTTTTTAAAATATATATTTTCCTCAAAAGACAATTTTAGCTGCCTCCAACAAATACTAGGGGAGGTGAGATAAATTTATAAAACAAATATGATAGTTGTTGACTAGTAAAATAAATCTTTTTTATTCTAGAGGGATTTACATGCATAATAAAACTCAAAATTTACCATTTACAATTTTACACATTAAATTCACTGCTTACATCTAGCACCAAAACATCAAAATAGAAAAAAATAATAATAACACTCTCGCTTAAAACACTAATCATGTCAATGCCCTCGCCACTCGTTGCTAACGTCGATAGACTATGCCCTCTCTTGCGATAAATTATTATGTGCATATTCCATATTATTCGGAGGCGAATCACATCGCGCTACGTCATCCGATACACAGCGGGTACTGAGTACCGGTATTCAGCAAATAAGTGACGTAGCACATTTTGATTCACCTTCGGATGGCATCCAAAATCCACACATAATAATTAATCATAACTTGCAAGCGCATCACTCATATACTTGTCGATGCCCTCGCATGGAAGCTTTGCCCCAATTGGACCTATTAATGCTCTTTTCTTGAACTTGCATGTGATTTCCTTAATTGGACCCATTGATGCCTCATCTTATGGAACTTTTTATTAGGTCAGGACACCTAACGTAGCTCTATATTCGGATGCTAATAAAATAGCGCCAAGTGCTCTTACTCTTTACTGCGCGGCCCGACGACCCGGACCCGTTATTGCTATGTATTAGCTGATTTGTGCAGACCGGGGTATTGCTCGGCAATAACGATAAATACTATTTTGTCAAGACCAATAATGAGCAATACCCCGATTTTGCTATGTATTGGTCTTGAAAGAGCGGTATTTCTCGTTATTGCCAAGCAATACTGAGCAATACAGAGCAATACCTAGCAATACACGAACATAACAATACCGGGTTCCGGTCCGGGTCGGGTCGTCGGGCCGCGCGATAAAGAGTAAGAGCACGTGACGACATGCTATTGGAGTCCGGATGTAGAGCTACGTCATGTGTCCTGACCTAATAAAAGTTCCATCTTATGAGCTCTGAGTAGTGGTGACTCACCTATCAAACTTCTTTAGTCCTTAGCAATAAAGAAGAGAGGAAATGCACAGGTGTAGGGCATTGTGACAAATTGCTATATAAAATGAGATTTATAATATTTAGGTATTTTCAAAAAATTCTACACCTAAAATTTTGTTATTTCTATTGATTAGAAAATAATCATAACTATAAAGAATAATATTATAGCACAATTAAAATCTTTAAATAGTATTCTAAATAATCCTTGTAATTTGGTTACATTCTAAAACAGTGAATTTATGCATAATGGTGTATTTTATTGTCTGTTGTTAAGGCATTTTAGTAATTTCTGAAATAAGCTTATTCATATCCATGTTTTTGCAATGTAATAAATTATGTGCTTATATAATTGAATTGTATGATTCGAAGAGTTCTAGGTGGATAGAGAAAGTTCAGTTATGATGCTAAATGTATATTATGGTGTTATATGCATACTTTGTTCTCAAAATTTTTTGAATTTTATTTATTGAGAGACATAAAGGTCTAAATTCTCTAAATTTTGTTTAATATAATGTGCTTGTTTATTTATTTTTCATGCATTGCTATTTGAATTCTTGATACATGCAAATACATTTTTGTTAAGCACATTGATTTATTATATTGCTTTTAGCACTTAATTAATTGTTTTATAATGATTTCATTTGAAAATTTAGATCGGTAAATATTGTCTGTTGAGCTATGTTAGTTTATAGTTATTTTGCCTTTTGTTTTGAGGGTCATAGAAAGGGAAATGGTTAGTTGAGTAGCAGTTTATAGGATATGATTTGAGCATATGTACTTATTTTTTTTAATTTTATACTTTCATAATGCTCTATTTTGTATTCCAGCTTGTAGCCATTTGCTGTAGTGTAATTATTGTATATATATATTTTATGATAAACGAAAGAATAGTTTGTGGATGAGTTTATTTTAGTATCCTTGAGGTTATTAGCACATATGTGGTTTGTGGGTTATTTTTAAATAGTTTTCCAAAATTCATCTTTTGCAAATGAATATATTTAACGTAATTTAGATGTTATATATATGAAAAAATGAATAATTATAGAATAGATAAATAAATATAAAATATATACGAATTTAATTAAAAAAAAAGGGAATTATCACCCGGGCCCAGTTCCTCCGCTTTCTGTCCGATATCGAATTACAGCGATGGCTTCGCCGCCGACTTCATCTCTCCATCTCCAACCCTATCCTTCTATAAATATTTCATGGCCTTGGGCCCTCTGCGCTTTCTAAATCGGCGCCTCCTTCTCTTCCATAGCTCTGGCCCATCCCCAAACCTTACCCTAGCTTTTTCCGGCCTGCATCGGATCTCCGGCGAGAAGCCTCGTCGACCTTCCGCCACCACAGCCGAAGCACTGGCGCACAGGATCGGGAAGGCCGTTCGGCGGCCCGGCGCTGCCTCTAAGGCGAGGGTTTATGCCGACGTCAACGTTGCCCGGCCCAAGGAGTACTGGGATTATGAATCTGTTACCGTTCAGTGGGGGTAACGTGGGAGATGGCGATAGAGTTTATCGAGGTTGAGTTTTTGAGATGAAGACTTGGGCTTAGCGTGTATTTTTTGTTTGGTTGCAGGGATCAGGAGGAGTACGAAGTTGTTCGGAAGGTTGGGAGAGGGAAATACAGCGAGGTTTTCGAGGGGGTACACTGCACGGACAGCCAGCCCTGCATTATTAAGATACTAAAGCCCGTGAAGAAGAAGAAGGTGCAGCTTCTTTGTAATTAGGGTTTTACTTTTTCTCTTTATGGTTGCTGTGCTTGCTTCTGGATTAAAGTATTTTTGCCGTATGATTAGTTTTTTTTATTACATTTCGGGCTGTACAAAGTGGGAGTTTATATTTCTCATGACAGATTACTAAAATTTGCCGTATGTTATGAGTTGCCAAAATAATTCGAAACTTATGTTTATTTGGACTGGTGAGTTAATGTAAGAAAAGTTGAATGTTTATGATTTCAAATTCACGCTCAAGGATATGTTGTCAAATATACGCTTACGTAAATAATATTCGTTAGTGCTTGAAGCATAAAATGCAGCTTTTTTGTAATTAGTTTTTTGATATTTTTTCTTTAAGGTTGCTGTTTTTGTAAAAGAACTTCTACTGGCGAAGTTGGATTGATGCATAGCTACAGAACATTCTTATCCTGCAAAACTGTATATTAGCAATTCATAAACAGAAAACAGAGAGGAAGAGAAAACAAATCAGGAATCTCATCTCCTTCATTCCAATGTAACAGTACATAGTATTTATAAGAAGAGATAAAAATAAAATCATTATAGTGTCAGATTGGTTATAAATCATTGGTTATGATAAGATGTATAGTTGGGCATAAATGGTGAGGATTACACAGTAAAAGCAGTGGCGACTGAGAACGTGAGCTGCGACTATTGCTGTCTCTGTGATTCTGTTAACAAGTCCCCGCAAGCTGATGGTGTCGAAGAGACCGTGAGCTTGGCACGAAGAGCAGAAAAATGAAGATATTATCAATTTGGTCCTTAGAGGCGATATGATGAACGATAATTTCCAAATTCTTTATGCAGTTTCTGACAAAGTGATAATTCACCTTTATATGCTTAGTTCGAGCATGGAAGATAGGATTATGAGCATTAGCAATAGCTGAAATGTTATCTCAGAATAGAGGTGGGTTGAGAATTGGGAAACTGAAATTCACTTAATAGGCGTCTGTTAGATCGGTCCAGTGGACCGGTCCAGCCGGTCCACGCGAGACCGGCCGAGACACGAAACGGCGGAAACCTTCCGCCTGGGCGAAGGCCGCGCGAGCCGCTACGCGAGACCGGCCGAGACACGAAACGGCGGAAACCTTCCGCCTGGGCGAAGGCCGCGCGAGCCGCTCAGCTTGCGGGAGCGTTTCAGGAAGGAAATTTGAGGACGTTTATGAGGGAAATTGATTGCAGGGATTGTTTAGGGAATTCCTTTTGAATTGTATGCATTAAATAGTGGATTTTTCTAGGGTTTGAGCATCTTGAATTTGGTTGAAATTTGAGATCTCTTAGATTTAGGTTTTCTTTGGGCTCTTGGCGTTGCCAGAGATTTGGGAGAGAACGATCCTCCTCTCGAATTGAGGATCAATTGTATCTTGCTATTTTATTCATCGACTAGTGGAATACAAGCTTTTCTTTGAGTTTTCTCTCAGATTTCCTTGTGGTTTTGCTGTTTTTCTGCTGTAAACAGCAGATTTCTGCTGTTCTCCTGCTGTGGACAGCAGCTTTGCTGTGAATGTTCGCCGATTTTGGTTAGGTTACTTGCGAACTCAAGTATTTCCTATCAGCGTCGTAGCCATATAATATCAGTTGTGGCTATGGCGGTAGCCAAAGCCCGATATTCTGCTTCGGTTGAGGAATTGGCAAGAGTAGACTGCTTTTTAACACACCAAGAGAGAAGAGTGTTTCTAAAAAATACACAATAACTTGTTGCAGACTTTCTATCAAATGGATCACCAGCCCAATCAGAATCAGTTTAAGCTCACAAATGAGAAGGATCAGAGTTTAAAGGCAATCCATAATCTAATGTTCCTTGTATATATCGAGGAAAGTGTTTGAGAGATTGAAAATGATTGAGCAATAGTTTATGCATGAATTAACACATAACTTGTTGACAACAAATGAAATGTCAAGATGAGTTATAGTTAAATATTGTAAGGAGCCAACTAGATGTCTATAAAGTTCAAGCTTGTCAAACAAGGAAGCTAAAGATGAATCCTTGAAAGCTTTAAGGAGAAAGGGACTACCAACAGGCTTACAATTCTCAATGCTGGCGTGATGAAGGAGTTATTTGGCATATCAATTTTGGTGTATATGCAAGCATATAGCTGTCAACTTGGCTTAAATACTAAAAAATGAGATAATTTGCCAACATTGTGGAACTGAAAATACTGTGTAAAGTTGGTGAGTAATGTTGTAAAGACAGAAGCATTTCTACCAGTCAAAAGGATGTCATCAACATACACCAGTAGGTACATAAGAGTCGAATTGTGATTGTAAATAAGCAAAGAAAGATCTACAACACTATGCTGAAAATCAAGAGTTTGCAAGTGACGCATGAGCTTAGCGAATCCCTGGTGAGGTGATTGCTTGAGACCATATTTAACCTTATGGAGACGACATACAAAGTGAGAATATTGAGGATCTTTAAAACCTTGCGATTGTTGCATAGATTGTTTTAGCCAAGTCTTCATGTAAAAAAGCATTGGGAATATCCAATTGTGCGATAAACCATTGGTGATGAACGCCAAAAGTTATAAAGATGCGAAATAAAGATGCGAATGGTAGGTAATTTGGTAACTAGACTAAAGGTCTCAGTATAATCGATGCCATATTATTGAGTGTAATCATGTGCAACCAAGTGAGCTTTATAATGGGCAACATAACCTCTGAATGAAATTTGATTTTATAAATCCATTTGCAGCCTAAAATATTTTGATTAGACATCGGGGGAATCAGGACCCAAGTACCCTGAGATTGAAGAGCTTGAAACTCATGAGATATTTATCCATGCCAGCAAGCATGTTTAACCACAATATAATAGCATGTAAGATTATTTACAGATAAAATTTGATGCTGTGATGTAAAAATCTGATTGGGTTTTAAGGATCTTGTCTGAAGCCGTGTCACCATAGGATGAGGATGTTAATGTTGATGTGGAGGAGAAGAAGACGGTAAGATAACTAATGGTGTGCAGGAATTTGGCACTGGGACGGGCTGAGCAGTAAAGCTAGTAGAATTTTTTAGTAGATATTTAAGACTGAGAGAATACCGGAGTCACATTTGGTAAGGAGGGAGAAGATTTGAAAGTATGTTATAAGGTAGATGATGGGTAAGGAACAAGTGCTATAGGAGGAATGTTAAGCTCAGTGGAGTTATGTAATGAATTAGATGAATAGGGGGAGGCAAAGGGGAAGATTTGCTCATGAAATTGAACATGGCGGGAAACAAGCGTTTTATGTTGTTGGGGGTGATAATAGTAGTAACCCTTATGCGTGGAGCTATAGCCAAGAAAGGCACAATAGGCTAATTTTTGAGAGATTTTATGTGAAGCATACGGTTGGAGCCACAAATAGCAAAGACAACATAAAACCTTTAGATGAGAATAAGTGGAAGGATAATTATATCTCCATTGATAAGGAGAAACAGATCTTGTTATGGAAGATGGAATGTGATTTATAAGATAAGTGGCAATAAGAACATCATCAAACCAAAAGGAAGATGGCAACTGAGCTTGAAGAAGAAGAGTGCAGTCGGTTTCAACAAATTGACAGTTTTTGCATTCCTTGAGGCCATTTTGTTATGGAATATTAGGGCAACTAAATTGGTGTATGATTCCAGCTTGAGCCAAAAATTTTTTGAAAGGGGGAGCTAGAATACTCACCTCCACCATTATAATGAAAAATTAGGATGGGTTTAGCAAATTGTGTATCCACCATGGTTTTGAATAAAATAAATTTAGAAAATGTTTCAGATTTTTATGTCATACGACACACCCAACAAAATCAAGAGAATTCATCAAGAAACAAAACAATGATATCCATTAAAAGATGAAACCGAGGAAGGGATACATCAGAGAGAACAAGTTTAAAAGGCGAAGTACATCTGTAGTTGAAAGTTGAAACATAAAAAGACTGTCGATGCTCTTAGCTACTTGTCACAAATGACAAATAGCGTTGTGAGCTGAAATACATAAAGCCGGAACTTGTTTAGCTATTGTAGATAAAACAGCTTGATGAGGATGTCCTAAATGACAATGCCAAATATTTGTGAAAGTGGAGGTGGAAATAAGAGTTGCAACAGTAGTGGTAGATGAAGAAGTCGAAGGCAGCACTTGAAGTGGATAAAGATCATCACAGCAAGGTCCTGAAAGAATCATGTGATTTGTCTTTAGATCCTTGATATGATAACCATGAGAATTAAACGAAGTAGAATAACAATTATCAGCTATTAACCGATGGACTAAAAGAAGATTATGAGAAATATTGGAAATATGAAGTAGAGGAGATAGGGGGAGTGGGTAAAAGATCTTGACCAGTATGCAAAATGGGTAGAGATTGACCATTGCCAACTATAATGTGCTGCTGTCCAGTATAAGGCTGAGGATAAATCAGATGCGTCGAGTCACCGGTTAATGAGATGTCGCTCCAAATTCCTAGAACCAATCAGCAGATTGAGTATTAGAATTAGTTGATTCAGCTAGCAATGCTTAAGATGAATTGCTGTTATAATTTAGATTTGTGTGTTGCCAGCACTTAAGAGCAGAGTTGCCTATTTTTCCACAGATACGACATTCAATCCTAGTAGTAATGTAGCGGCCCTTGGTAGTGGAGGAAGACTGCCAGTTGGAAGCAGGATGCTGAGCAAAAAATTTCAAAGACCTCTCTCGTTGCCAAAAAAGGGTGGACGAACATCACCCCTACCAAGAGAGGCAGTGAGGTCGACTGAAGGTTCTTAAATCTGAATGGATTGAAGTTTTCGAGCAACGTCATTCTCTACGTTCATCTCTTTACTGCATAATAAGGAGTAGAAATCATCCAAATGTAGAGGTTGAAGATTAGTTCCTATCGTCATTTTGAATGACTGATAGGAAGAGGGCAGGCCATTAAGGCATTAAGAGTATATAGAACAATATCTTCTGGATCTAAAGCATAGCCAGCTGCCATTATGGTGTCTACTTTCAGCTTAATTTCTGATAAATACTACTGCATAGTTTTGTTATTCATTGAGATATGATGCTACTCATTTTTCAACTGAATTATGCTGGAGTGATTTGTAGATTGAGACTTTTATTAATGATTTGCCATATTTCAACACAAGAATCAAGGTTCATAATATATGTTAAAGGAAACAGAGATTGTGGAAAACAATGTAGCTGTTAGATTTTGATCAACAAGCATCCAAGCAGAATAATGAGGATTAAGAGTAACTTTTCCTGCTGCTGTACTTATCTGACGGGAAGGATGAGCGACAGTGCCATCTAAATAACCTTCAAACCCATTTTCTCTAACTACCTTCAGCACTTGAGACCGCTAAGTGAGATGATTGTCAGCTGTTAGTTGAACAGTGATTACATTTTTATTAGTGCACATTAAACACTTAAGCTTAAGGAGGGATCGTTGCACAGCCAGCCAGAGGATTAACCTTTGTATAGCTACTTGCAGAATTTTCTGAAGTTATGCTGATACCAAAACAAAAAAGATTACCTACTACGGAACAGAGGGAGCCGTTAGGCTTATAAGCTTTGATACCATGCAAAAGAGCTTTTACTGGCGAAGTTTGATTGATGCATAGCTATGGAACATTTTTGTTCTGCAAACCTGTATATTAGCAATTCATAAACAGAAAACAGAGAAGAAGAGAAAGCAAATCAGGAATCTCATCTCCTTCATTCCAATGTAATAGTACACAGTATTTATAAGAAGAGAGATAAAGCTAAAATCATTATAGTGTCAGAATTGGTTATAAATCAGTAAGATAACATGTATAGTTGGAAATAAACAGTAAGGATTAAGCAACAGAAGTAGTGGCGACAGGGAACGTGAGCTGCGGCTGTTGCTACCTCCGTGATTCTGTTAACAGTTTTTGCCCAATACTGTAAAGCAGTTCCATGAACGTATACTTAATTGCTGCTTGGGTTTTGGGTTGTGTGAATTTGGAGTTGAGACTTTTAAAAGAAGTTTGTAAAGTTAGTGAAAGATAAACCAATTACCAATAATTAGAAGCTATTATTCTTATGATTTTAGACCAGTGAAGAGGAAGAGGTGCAACTTTTTTTTTAATAAAAATTTTTATGAATAGGGTCTTGATTTTTTTTTAAGAATGAAGGTGATGCACAAGATTGTGCGAGTTATAGAGGAATTAAGTTAATGTGTCATACTTTAAAACTATGGGAGCGAGTTATGGAGCATAGGTTGCGGCGTGATACTAATGTTTCTCAAAATCAATTTGGATTCATGCCGGGTAGGTCGACTATGGAAGCCATACATTTATTAAGAAGTTTGATGGAGAAATATAGAGAAAATAAAGAGGATCTACATATGATATTTATTGATTTAGAAAAAGCATAGATAAAGTTCCAAGAAGGTTGCTGTTTTTGTAAAAGAACTTCTACTGGCGAAGTTGGATTGATGCATAGCTACAGAACATTCTTATTCTGCAAAACTGTATATTAGCTATTCATAAACAGAAAACAGAGAGGAAGAGAAAACAAATCAGAAATCTCATCTCCTTCATTCCAATGTAATAGTACACAGTATTTATAAGAAGAGAGAGAAACTAAAATCATTATAGTGTCAGAATTGGTTATAAATCAGTAAGATAACATGTATAGTTGGAAATAAACGGTAAGGATTAAGCAACAGAAGTAGTGGAGAAGTAGTGGCGACAGAGAACGTGAGCTGCCACTGTTGCTACCTCCGTGATTCTGTTAACAGTTTTTGCCCAATACTGTAAAGCAGTTCCATGAACGTATTCTTAATTGCTGCTTGGGTTTTGGGTTGTGTGAATTTGGAGTTGAGACCTTTTAAAAGAAGTTTGTAAAGTTAGTGAAAGATAAACCAATTACCAATAATTAGAAGCTATTATTCTTATGATTTTAAACCAGTGAAGAGGAAGAGGTGCAACTTTTTTTTTAATAAATTTTTTTATGAATAGGGTCTTGATTTTTTTTCTTTATGATTGCTGTATTTGCTTATTGGGTATATGAGTTCTGATTCTATTTTCCTAATTGCCACGTACGGTTTGGATCTCATGATTTTGAGTTAAAATAAGTTGGTTAAATTTTTTAGAGGCATTTGTTTATCTGGAGAGGAATTAACTTAGGATAAGTTGCAGCAATGGTTGTGATATCAAACCTATGCTCAAGAATAGTTTTCCAAATGTTTGCTAACATTATTTAGATTTTAAAACTCATGAAGAAGAAGAAGAAGATTCAACTATCGTTTTATTTATTTGTTTATTTTTTGTAATAAGGGTTCTGATTTTCTATGCATGATTGTTATATCTGTTTAACAGACTAAAATAATACATTTATTGCTGTTTACATTTTGGGTTGTATGATTGCGGAGTTGAGACTTAAAACAATTGGTGTTTATTGTTTACCTGGATAACGAGTAAGCTCTGGATAAGCTGTGTCAATGGCTATGATTAGAAATGCATGGTTAATGATAAGATACCCAATGTCTGCTTAAGATTTTAAAGACCATGAAAAGGAAGAAAGTGCTATTTTTTAATTAGGGTTTGATTCTTTATTTATGATTGTCTGTTTTTTTAATGTGGTTATTCAGTTCTGACACCATTCGCCTACTTGCCGCTTGCATTTTGGGTAGCATCTAGTTGGATTTAATACTTTTTAAAAGAACTTAATAAAATTTGTCAAAGGTGAAGAATCAAAGAAATAATTGGAGGTGGTTGTTTTCTTGGAAAATGAGTAGGCTCAGGATAAGTTTTTGAAAATTGTTTTATGATATCAAATGCATTCTTAAGGATAACTTCGCCACTGTACGCTTACATTATTATGATTTAAAGCCCTAAAGAAAAAGAAGAAGACACTTTTTTTTTGTTATTAAGGGTTTTGGTTTTCGTTTTATGGCTGTTGTGTTTATTTATTGTGCCAGAGGAGTTGTAGTATTTGTCGAAGTGCTTCGTGCATTTTGATTAATATAATTTGGCTGCAGAAACTTCCGAACAGTTTAATAGAAATTGTCAAAGTTGAAGAGGATGCAAACTAATTGGAGATTGTTGTTTACTTGCATTAGTGAGTAAGCTCAAGTAAGTTTGGAACAATCATGTTTTGAAATTTATGCTTAAGGAGTCAGGAAGAATACAATTTGCTATTTGCAGGTTACCTTGTGTGCTTTGGACACTTTTCTCAAGTTTTATGGCTAAGAGCATTAGTGGAGTTTGTTCCTCTAATTGTCCATTCTACTAGTACTCATATATGCCCATTTGGATCACTTCTAATAAATATCCTTTCTTTCTCTAAGTATATGTTATAGTACTTCATCATTTTTTTCTCAGAATAAATTTTTTTGCTATCTTTTAATTCAAATTGCAAAGTATAAGCATTAATCACATGCATTCACTGATAATTATCTTTATAGCAATTACTCTATCGCTAATTCTATTCACCTCGACATATTTATCTTTCAACTCTATATCCACTACTATCTTAATTAATTCCTTTCCAATTGCTGACCATTCTAATTTACAATAACTTATAATTTGTCCCAGTGTCTTTGGAAATTTGTCATTGCCATTTATTTTCCTTAAAAAATAATATTAATTATTTCATTCAAAGTCACAGATTATTTTATTTTTTCCATTTAATTCCTCAAATTTCCAAGTTGCAAATCTAATGTTATATTTAGACCTAGACGTGTTTTCATTACAATTGGGCTAAATTAGTACGCCACTTAAGGTGACGTCCTAGCCAAACTTTTACATGTTTTTCATTACAATCGGGTTAGGTTATGGCAAGTTACTTGTGAGTGACGTCTTAGCGCCCCCTTTTGCACTTCTTCCACAATCAAATTAGATAGCTATGCATTACTTTTTGGAATACGGAATACCCTAGTTTTATGAAATATTTAAAATTTTCTATTTGACCCTCCTAAATGTGAGTATTTCTTTCTTCTTCACTTGTTAACATGCAAAACTTAAATGTTCTTGTTAAGGGAACTAAATTCATCTAACACCATACTCATAATTTTTATAACTAAAAGCTATGTCTTTACATCATTTGAATTAGGGAGGTTCTGAATGTTAAAATATTTGATACCAATTTTATCTTTATATTTGATGAATTTGGTTGTTTTTATCTCACACTTTCCTATGAAAGCTTTAAAAATAAAAAGGATATCATCACCCCTTTATGCATGCCAATTTATAAAAAGCGCTTCAAAGCAAGAGAATGCGTCATTGTTAGGTTGAACTACAATTAGATTCATTTGATTATCAAGCCATGGTCTTGGATTTTACAACTTTGCTTTTGGGTTTTTGATTAAATTGCCTTTATTATCTTGCCTTGTCTATTTTTTATTTATAATTAGTACGCACTGCTTTTGTACTCCTTACTCATGCCTCTAGATAGTTTTTTCTAATTGATAATATTGATACAGATAAAGCGGGAGATAAAGATATTGCAGAACCTTTGTGGCGGACCAAATATTATTAAGTTATTGGACATTGTCAGAGATCAACAGTCTAAGACACCCAGTCTCATATTTGAGTATGTCAATAATAATGATTTCAGAGTGCTCTATCCAACTTTAACAGACTACGATACACGATACTACATATATGAACTTTTGAAGGCAAGGCATTTTCACAATCTTCTGCGTTATTATTATTAATTTTTTGTTTTTCTTTTGTCTAGCTACAGAGTGGGAGCTTTATAAATTGAACGAACATTAAACATTGCAATAGATTCCTGTATCCTTACCTATAGAAGTGTTAAAAAATGGAAGTTACAAATTTGAAAAGAAATGTGTGTCAAAGATATGTTTTATGTTATTAAATATTTGAATGATAGAGAATCAGTTAAGTTGCTTCTATTTTGATTTAGAGTTCATTGAGTTTGAATCCTGAAAACACCTCTCTACATATGAGTAAGGTTGTGTACATCCACCATACCCAAACCATGCAATATCTAGAGCCGTGTTTGTGATGGGATTTGATTAGTTTTAAAAGAACTATGTAGTGACTTAAGATTTTACAACCACAGTTGGATTATAAAAACAATCAGGACTAATGGAGATTCTTAGAAAAAAACAATGAAAATGTGTTCCTTGGTGTATGCTATTTGCATAAGACAATTCTATTAATAGATGAGTACTTTGTTGAAATAAGTGAAAATTTAGAATAATGGAGATAGTTTTTAAAGGGGGCATTTAAATTAGTATGATAAAGATTTTGAATAAGCTAGGTTTAAGTATTCTTCAACCTTTATTGGAAAAAACACTGGTACATATGAGGACATATGCCGTTTAATATTATGTTTAATATGAAAAATTTGTTTGAGTTTTTTTGTAATAAGAGAATATTATGGAAGCTTAAATATATTTTTTGTACAACTGCAATGCTGCTTGATAGACTATATGGAGTGTTTGATGATAAAAATGTATCTAATAATCAAGTTGTTTTTTGGAGAAATGGAAATGCTAAGATGGATGCATGATAAAACTTGGAAGGATTGATGACAAATGATTAATGGGAGTATCCTTTTTGAAGTTAAGGTAGTATTTAGTTGTTTGGGCAGATATAATGGAGGTTAGATGTTGCCTTAATTAGAAGAATGATTTAATTCAATGTGGAAAGTTCAGGAAAGGTAATAATAGCCAAAATTTGAGATGTCTCGGAGTCATACCAAAATATTTACACAAAATATAAAGTTAATACGTAACTTACATGGTTAGAATGAATGGAATGATAATTCATTAAGCCTACCTTACATGGTTAGATAAAGGTTGGAAATTCAAATGAAAATTGAAAAGATTTGCTTATTAAAAATTTTTGTAATACATTAGTTTAAACTTTTCCTTTTTTCTTCGAACATTCAAACCTCTGACCTCTATTTTAGAGATTAAAGCCATATCACTAAGTGGTTGGTGCTTTAAACCACAACACAATATGAATATTTAGTGTAATTGAAGAATTCTCATTGTAATGCTTTTTGAAAAAAAAAAATGTAGCCTCTAGCTCTTTTGTCAAATCTGTTGTGTAGGCTTGAGTTAGATTCTTTATGTCAACTTCAGAATTTTTTTTTCTTGGTTCAAAGCTTTGAAATTCATATGGCAATTGAGTTTGGCATATGATTTGAAATTTTATCTTCTTAAGTTTTAATGCACATGAATTTAATTTGGCAAATGTTGTATGTTTTAATTTAATCTGTCCTGTCAGGGTTGTGATTTATTGCAATCGTAATAGCATTTTTTTGTTATTTGCCTCATTTTTTAAACTCGGCTCTTTTACAGATATTCCCTCTCAATATATTTTGTTAATTTGCTTATATTTAGATCAAATTTAAGAATCATAGTCTTTTTTTATGCTTCAAGGAACTTGATATTTCTCCATGAATTTTCATTATTTATTGTATTTATTCCCATCCCCACATAGTGGGATAAAGGCTTGATGTTGTTATTGTTGTATTGTATTTGTTTTCATATTCAATTCTTCAAATAGCGATTTCAATATAATTTGATAAAAGTGTTGGGATAGTCTCTCAATGTATGGTAATTAGACATACAAATTTGTTTAATTAAATTCAAGTAGTTTTGAAGTACTTTTTGAAGAGTGGAAGGCTGTAGTCACATCGTTGATGAACCTTTAGAGTTGATATGAATGTAGGAGTCATGCATTTTTATCATATTCTTTTATATATTAAAATTTTATAGTATGAATTTGTTAGACCGGCCCAGCCAGTCCGCACGGGACCGGCAATTCGAGAACAGGCGGGATCTCCACCTCTTGCGGAGATCGGGCGGGCCGACCGCTCAAACGGAGCTTTTTAGGAAGGATTTTTGGGGGGTTTAAGAGAGAAATTTGAATGTAGGGACTGTTTAGGGAATTCCTTTTGTTTTGTATGCATTAAATAGTTGATTTTCCTAGGGTTTGGGTATCTTGAATTTGGCTGAAATTTGAGATCTCTTAGATTTAGGTTTTCTTTGGGCTCTTAGCGTTGCCAGAGATTTGGGAGAGATCGATCCTCCTCTCAAATTGAGGATCAATTGTATATTGCTATTTTATTCATCGTCTAGTGGAATACAAATCTTGCTTTGAGTTTTCTTTCAAATTTCCTTTGAAATACTGCTGCTAAACTTCTGTCAGCAGTTTTGCTGTGTTTTCATGCTGTGGACAGCAGTCCAGTCACTGTTCTCGTTGTTTTTCAGAAGATCTACAAATGTTTCCTATCAAATTGGTATCAGAGCATCATTTTTGGGGCTTTTGGCGGCTGAAATCCTGAAATTTCAGCGGGATTTTCGTTTCCGGAAAAAGATCTTTGTGATTCTTGGGAAGAACGATGGCCGGGAAGAAGGTAGAAGTCTTGGAAGGTGAAATCGGACAATTGAAATCCGATTTGGAGGGAAGATTTTTCGATTTTCAAAATCAAATCACCTCCAACAATGAAAGGTTGGAGGGGAAGTTCACCGTGATGGAAGAAATGATGAAGAAATTACTTGAAATGAAGACCAATCCGGCGACATCGGAAGTACGAGAGACCATCGACGGTCATGGCATGGGAGGAAATCCGAACCCATTACGGGGTAGGAGGAATTCGGAGGTGGAGATCCTGGAGGAGGAGAATGACATGCTCCCTCTAGAACCGCTTTCTAGAGAAGAGATAAGTAGGGGATACGACAAACGGGAGGCTGATTTTGTCGGAAGAAGAGAAGAATTTCATCGCCCAACTGCTGAATTTGAGAGAATCCAGCGTTGAGGTGCGGATGTTGATGGGAGAAGGGAGGAATTTCATTGCCAAGGTGCCGAATTTTAAAGAGTTCAGCGTCGAGGGGCTGATTTTGAAGGAAGAAGGGAGGAACTTCATAGTCGAGGTGCTGAATTTGAAGGAATTCAGCGTTGAGGTGATGATTTTGAAGGGAGAAGAGGAGAATATGAAGAAGGGTTCGGGTATAATCGCCGGAGGGAAGATCGTGACAGTTGGGTAGCACCTCATCTTCGAGGGATGGGAGATTATGGAGGATTCAGGGGACACGGAGGAGACCCACGGGTGAGGAAGTTGAAGATGCCCGTCTTTGAGGGCGAAGATAGCCATGGCTGGATCTACAAGGTGGAGCGTTACTTCGCTGTCAACGGGCTGACATAGGAAGAGAAGCTGACGGCGGTAGGAGGAAAAGCCTTAGCATGGTATCAGTGGCGTGACAGGAGGGAGCCCATCCAGAGCTGGAGAGAGTTCAAAGATTGCTTATTGGAGCGTTTTCGAGCCGATGGGGAAGGAGACTTCTATGAGCAATTCTTTGCCTTCACTCAGGAGTGGACTGTGGCAGATTATCGGGACAGGTTTGAGTACTTGGCTAGCCGATTAGATCACATTTCAGAGTCCGCCCTGGAAGGTAATTTCATGAAGGGGCTTAAACCTGAGATACAAACAGCAGTCAAGATGCTGGAGCCGAGGAACCTAGGGAAGGCTATGGAGCTTGTGCAGTTGGTGGAAGATCATAAGAAATCAGAAAAAGGGGCTCGAGGAAACTATTCAGGGGGATCTTATGGGATGACGACCACTCTTCTAGCATCCAAGCGGTTTGCATCAAGCAACATTAATGAGACCACCAGGGAGAAGCCAGTAGGAGGGAGTGGGAAAAATTTCAAGAGGCTGACAGAGAAGGAGATGCAGGATAAGAGGACAAAGGGTGATGCATTTAGATTTTTGCTTAATTTTTTGTTATGAACAATATTAGTTTTATTTTCTGTTTTTTT